ACCATGCTTTTTCCAAGAGGGACCCATCCTCTGTGAGGGAGATGTCTTCACACAAGTCGTCAGGGCCAGCATCCATTGAGCACCAACTGCGTACAAAGCGCAGTCATAGAACTGAAAGATGAAGGTAGAGGAGGGTCTCCAACTTCAAGAGCCCATTCCATAGATGCAGGACATACCACCGTTCTGCAGCCATCACTGGTGCACAGGCGTGGGCTAACACTGTAACGTGTCGTCTTGATCCGCAAACAGGATTCACGTTCTTGCTGACAGTCATGTCAGAGGGAGTTTTGAGAGGAATGGTGAGTAGCCCAGAGCTGGCAGTGTGCCTCACTGTGAGAGAGGGAAAAGAGGTTGCTTCACTGCCAGCCGATGCCACTGAGCACCAGTAAGCGAGCAGTTCAAGTTGAGGGGAACTTGTAGGAACTTTGAATTTTCCTTCGGTCACGCGCAGACACCACCGTCATACAACAGCCGCTGCCCCGCCAGGTCTCACAGCCTTCATGCTCCAGCTGGAGGGGAGTCGTATGGCTGAGACCCGCCCAGCATGCAGCTGCCCTCCTGCATTCCAGCTCATTCCATTTGTATGCAATTCCAACAACACTGCAGCCCCACCAGGATGCACAGCCCATAGAGGGTTCTGGTTATGCTTCCCCATCTTCCGTCAGGTCCCCCTTGCTCAGTGAATGTCTATAGTCAGTTCCATCCCAGCTCTTTTGCTTTTATCCCTGGGCAAAACCAGCTAACTCCATGCTTGTGTCTCAGCTTCTGGAAGTGGCCAAAGACCACGCGCATGTTGATGACCTCACTTTACTCAGGACTCTCACCTCTGAGCTGTACTTAGGCTCAGGGTGGTGACTGGCCTTTCATGATCCCACTGTCCACCCTCCTCCCACCCCTTCCTAAGTTACTCTCAGCCCCATCCTCCCTCTCCATCACTCTCAGCTGACGACCTCATTAACCGCCACCCCTCCCTACCCTCCTGTGACATCAGGAGCCTGTCCTGCCCAGACTGAGGCCACTCCGTCACCAGCTAGCTGCCTTTTCTAGCTCTCAGGCAAACCCTGCTGCAGATGTCACCACCTCAGAAGCTCTAGTCACAGACCTTCACCCAGTTTTTGCTAGCAGGATACAAACAGTCTTCTAGGTCCCAAAGGGCTAAGTAATTCCACCTCTCAGGCTTCGCCATTCACAACACACAGATCATCTCACAGGCTCAGGTTGGCGCCACGCCACAGCTGCTGTCCTTGGTAGTCTTTCCACAGTCCTGGCATCTATAGTATGTTGGGGTCTTTGCTGGCTACACCTTCACCAAGGGCCTCCTGGGGGACTCTGACCCTGCCATGTGCATCAGGCCTCAGCCTCCATGTCCCCTTCAATCCTGGAGTTTCCACAGCCAATGAGACTGCACCTTCACCAGTGGCCTCTCCTAGTCTCTCACTGTGTCAGGTTTCTTATGCTCCCCATCTTCTCCTCAGGCCTGAAACCCTCATACTATCAACACTAGCAACATGTGGGAGACTCTTACACACGACCAAGCTCTGCTGCCAGAATGAGATGCAGCCGTGGCCTCCTCTAGCCCACAGTCCCTCTGTGCTCCCCGGAGGAAATACTCCAGAAGATTCCACCTCAGTGCTGCTGGCCTTTCCTTTAAAAAAAATAATAATTTATTAGATTTTTAAAAAAATAAAAACCAATCCAAGTTCCCACTCCCTCCCCTCCTCCCATTCCCTCCACACACTCTCCCACCCCACCCCTATCTAATCCTCAGAGACTAGACGGTAAGGCACATTGGCTTGTGGAAGGTCCAAGGCCCTCCCTACTATATCTAAGCTGAGCAAGGTATACATGTAAAGAGAATAGGATCCCAGAAAGCCAGTACATGCAGTAGGGATAAATCCTGGTGCCACTGCGAGTGGCCCCTCAGTCTGCCCCAGCCATGTAACTGTCAACCACATTCAGAGGAACTAGTTTGGTCCTATACTTGTTCCTTCCCAGTCTTGTTGGAGTTCGTGAGCTACCATTAGCTCAGGCAAACTGTTTCAGTTGGTGAACCCAATTATGGTCTTGACCTCCTTGCTCATATCCTCATTCCTTCCACTCTTCAACTGGACTTTGGGAGCTCAGTGCAGTGCCCCAATGTGGGTCTCTGCCTCTGCCTCCATCAGTTATTGGATGAAGGCTCTATGGTGATATTGAATATAATCATCAGTCTGACTACAGGGCAAGTCAAGATCAGGCCCCCTCTCCTCTATTGCCCAGGGTTCTAGGTGGGGTCATCCTTTTAGATTCCTGGGAATTTCTCTAGAGCCAGGTTTCTGCTAAACCTATAATGGCTCCCTCAATCAAGATATCCATTTCCTTGCTCTCATCTCTGTCCTTCCTCCATCTCGACCTCTCATTCTCTCAAGTTCTCCTCTCTCCTCCCCCTCTCCCCTCCTCTTCTCCTCCTACTCTCCCCTCTTCTCCACCCCCATGCTCCCAACCTTGCCAGTCAATCCTGTCCGTCTCTTCTTAATCACAGCTGATTTCTCATCCCTAGCTTCCAGTTGTCCCATTGGTTGTCCTAATCTGATGGAGACATTTCCTCAACTGAGGATCTCTCCTCCCAAATAACCATAGCAATGCCAAGTAGACAAAAACAACAGCAACCAGCACAAAGGCTTCACTTCCAGTGTCGTTACACGAATGGCCCTGATACTTTGTTTTTCTCTGAAATCTCACATGCATTTCTCTCAGTTCTCTTCTTGAATGCCACATCTCTTCAATCACTGAATAGTTGATGGCTTTTCCAGGCCAGAGTTCCAAGATGCTTCCACAATAGTCTCCAAAACACCATCAGGTCTGTCACATGAATACCCCACTCCTGGTACAAATTTCTGTCCTAATTTGGCTTTTTATTGCTATGATAAAACAGTGATCAAAAGAAGTTTAAGGAGGAAAGTTTTTTGTTGTTATTGTTTGTTTTTTTGCCTTACATCTCCTGAGCACAGGTCATCATTGAGGGGAGCCAAGGTAGGAACTTAGGGCAGTAACTGGGAAGCAGGACCTGAAGCAGAAGTTGTAGTTGGTGGCTTTTTTAAACTCTTCAGGGCCGCACCACCAAGCTCCCAAATAAATACATAGAGACCTATTCTTACTTAGGAATGCCCGGCCTTAGCTTGGCATGTTGCTAGTCAGCTTTTCTTAAGTTAAATTATTCCATCCACCTTTTGCCTCTGGCCTTTTACCTCTCTCTATTTCTGTATATTTTTCCTTCCTTCTTTCCTTCCTTCCTTCCTTCCTTCCTTCCTTCCTTCCTTCCTTCCTTCCTTTCTCTCTTTTTTCTTTCTTTTTCCATGTCTGGCTATGTGGCTGTGTGACTTGGTAGCTTGCCCCTGACATCTTCTTTTTTCATTCCTTCTATTTATTCTCTCTGCCTGATAGTCCAGCCTGTCCTTTCTTCTCCCTAGCTATTGGCTGTTCAGCTCTTTATTAGGCCAATCAGGTGTTTTAGACAGGTAAAGTAACACAGTTTCACAGAGGTAAACAAATGCAACATAAGAGAATGCAACACATCTTTGCATTATTAAGCAAATATTCCACAGCATAAAAGAATATAACTAATTCCACAAGAAGAGACCAAAGAGGATCATTGCTTCCTGGCTTGCACATCATGGATTTCCCAGCTTACTTTCTTATACAACACAGGGCAACCTGCCCAGGTGTAGCACCTCTCACAGCGGGTTGGGCCCTCCCACATCAATCACCACAGAACTGTCTGCAAACTGACCTACAGGCCAAGCTAATGGAAGCATTTTCTCAGTTAAGGTTCCATCTTCCCAGATAACCCTAGCTTGTGTTATAAGAAATGAAATCTGAGGCTAGAGAGATAGCTCAATGGTTAAGAGTGTGTGCTGCTCTTGCAGAGGACCTGCATTCAATTCCCAGGACCACATAAGGTGGCTCACAACCACCTGTAACTCCTACTCCAGGGGATTCCAAACCTCTGGTGTCTGAGGGTACCTGCACTCACTTAGACACACACACACACACACTTAAAAGAAAATATTAAGATAGAAACTCATATATTAAAATTCAGTTTTCAAAAAGAAAATGTGCCAAGGAAACTCTATTGAGGACAAATGATCTTTTCAGTAAACTAACCTGGGAAGGCTTGATACTCAGATAAAAAGGAAGAGGGTGTTAGAAGAGAAGGAATGGAGTTAAGAGGAAGTAAAGAGGAAAAAGAAAGAAAAAAGGAAGGGAGGGAGGGAGAGAAAGAATGGAAAAAGAACTTAAATCCCACCCCACACCCTACTTAAAATTCACTCACAATGAATCTATATACCCACAAAAAAAAAAAAAACTAAAACTAACAAAATTCTAAAATAAACCTCATGAGAAATCTTTATGGCCTCAGCTTAGGTCAAAAAATTCTTTAGCTGGGCGGTGGTGGAACATGCCTTTAATCCTAGCACTCAGGAGGCAGAGGCAGGCGGATTTTTGTGAGTTCAAGGCCAGCCTGGTCTACAAGAGCTAGTTCCAGGACAGGCTCCAAAGCTACAGAGAAACCCTGTCTCAAAAAAATAATAAATAAATAAATTAATTAATTAATTAATTAATTAATACAAACCATTCTTTAAAAACACCAAAAATATGAGCAATAGAAAGATAAACCATGAAAGAACAACTTGGCCAAGAATTGGACTTCAAAGTACTACTAAGAAATTGAAAAGTTAACCCAAAATCTTATCATACCCAACAACCATCATCTTAGATATTTACCAAATCAATCTGAAAATATTCTACATAGACAGACAGACGAACAGATGGATGGATGGACAAACAGCCGGACGGACGGATGGACAGATGGACAGATGGACGGATGGACAGACACACACACAAAACTGTACCCAAAGACCTATTGGTTTTATTCAAAGTCACTAAAACTTGGAAATAGCCACCACGTTCCTCAATAAGATGGATAAGCATTCAAACAACAAAGGATTGCAGAGCAATAATGAGCTAACACAATGAGAAGAATCTGACTTATTAAATAATAAAGGAATGCAGTGGCCTGATGCGTACACTGTGTTGACATTGAGACTCAACAGAGAGTCCCCAGGCTGTGGAGCTTCGATCATCTGACACTCAGGAAAGGAAGATCCTGGGGCAGCAGGAAGATCAGTAGTTCCAAGTGGCTAGGGGAAGAGGAAAGGATTAAGAAATGGAACACAGGTGAGAAGATATTTTGTATGACATGTAGCAGTGGACACATGACAGTGCACATTTATCAAAACCCATTAAGCTAATTTATAGAACCAAATGTGAACCTTAAAATTATGACCTTGAAAAAGTCATTTCGCAACAGCCATCATGAGGAACTGTATTAAAGGGCCACAGCATCAGGAAGATTGGGAACAAATGCCCTAGAGCCCCACAACTGTGAAGCGAATGGGCTTGTTGTCTTTTTAAAGTTTCCCAGCTGCTAGTATTACAGGACTGGAAAAAAAAACAAATACACTGAGCCTCACAGAATTCAAGCAACTTGTTTAAGATTGTGGAGCTAGATCCTGACAGAGCTCCGGGCAGAACTCAGATTTTGTTCAGTTTTCCTCAGGAGAGATAATGACCTCTTACAGAACTTGCCTCCCTTACCTTGTTTCTCTGGAACTTTCTCAGGATACTGTTGACTTGTAACTCCATGGGACATATCTGGACCAATGGAAGGCATTCACATAACCGCTCTTCCCCAACTCAGCACCCTGTTTTATACTCTAAAAACAGATGTGTTCCACGGAGCTCCAAGGGTTCAAACCTGGAATGCCATGACCTCTGTCTGCCCCACTGTGAACAAGGGAGAGATGAACAAAGACAGGACAGTAGAGTTAGATGGCAGGAGCATGGGCTTTGGCTAGGGTACGTGCTTGCAAATCCATTTCGTTGTCCATTTGCTTGGCACAAGTGACTTAGTGAATTCATCTAACATCTCTGCCAGCTTTCCCAGATGCCCAGGGAAAGTAGCAACACTCACTGGCATCCATGGTAAGTAAAGGTGCAGTAGGTCAGCACTATTCCAAATTCTTTCAATGGATTACCTCATCTAACCTTCATGACATTCCAGAGAGACTCTAGGGACTGAAGTGACCCTAGCAACCCCTGGAGGGTATGTGGCAAAGTAAGAAGCCTGGATTTGAATCCAGCTCTAACTATTGCTATGTTACCCTGGATGACAGACAATACATCTACCCCATAGGGTTCTTGAAAGGATAAGCAAGTCAACACATATTCAACATCAGAGCTGGGAACTTGTGAGAGGTGCCAGGCCTCATACTCAACTCAGTGAGTTACATGTTGCTGGACCAACAGAGCAGAATTGAACTTGCAGGAAGGGAGAAAGAAGACAAAGCAAATAACTTGACATCATTAGGAAAGATGTGGAAACGAAAGCAAACTAAATGGCTCCCCCATGAAAATGAGGGCTGATGGAGGCTTGGGGGATGCTTTGTTCAGACTACCCAAAGCCTGAGACCAAGAGTAAGGGCATGTGGTTCCAGTGGTAATGACCAACGGGAAACAACATTTGTCTCATGGCCCAAAAGGGAAGTCTTAATGTCAGTGGCATTCCACCCAGGTTCAGTATTCTCAGCTCAGGATTTGAGAGAAAGAGTGGAAACCTCCTGAAGAGCAATCAGCATACCTTGGCCACATACCGCCCACGGGCACTGGTTGATATCTGTATTTGCCAACACAGCCCATGACCCCTTGAGCAAATCATGACCCCTTGAGCAAATAGCTCATGACCCCTTGAGCAAATAGCTCATGACCCCTTGAGCAAACAGCCGGGGTGGGGAAGGCCAGCCAAGTGCCTCTCTGGAAGATCTAATCACCATAGTCTTTGACTTGGCATTGATCTTTCCCATGCCAGGCAAGGCCTGGACCCAGTTTTTCTGGCCATGAGATTCCAAAGAGCACTGCTGTTATGTGACTTTTCCTGAGGAGACATGAAGGGCAGGCACTGTGACAAACCCAAGAGAAGCTTCCATCTGAGTGTCACTTAGTGAACTAGTAAGATTCCTGGGTCTACTTACAGGATCGTGGGTGCCACAAAAGCACCCACATCAACAAAGAGCCAATCCTAGCATGCATGATTGATGAGTCAGGAGAACAGAATCCCTGGAGCTCCTGGAATGACTATCAGGCTGCTCAACTTGTTAAAGAGTCTCCTCTTCTAGTAATTGCTCTGCTCGAGGAGGGAGGGGCCTTGTGAGTCTTATCACTTTCAGGAGTTTCCTGAGCCTTGTGAGTTCTCTGTTTACTTCCTGAGTTGTTCATGTCTCTCCAGGTGGCTGTCCTTAACATCAACCACATGGTACTGGCTTTACAGCTATGGAGACTCACAGAGACATCCACACACATTTTTATAGAAGGCCAGGGAGTTAACTGTGTGCAGTGGGACCATATTCTCCAGGAGAGCCCCTGGGAAGGAGGATAATGTTTTAAACTGTGAGTGTGATGTGTGAGTATCAGTGGGTACCCCAGGATGTTGAAGATGCAAGGAACGGAAGATAACTGCCAAGAAAAGCCAAGGAAACAAGTGAAGTCCACCCAGGAGATAGGCCATGTGGGCTGCAAACCGCAAGGCGGCAGGAGCAGGGTTGCTCAGGCCTGTTGGGGTGCACATCATGGGATCATGGGCCCTAGAAACAAAATGTGGAGCCGCAGGATAAACGTTTGCCCTGCTGTGTTTTGTTGTTTCTCGCTTTGGTCCCATCCTTCTTTGTGGCTGACTAGTCTTCCTTTTGGAATGGGATCATCTGTCATGTACCGCTGAAATTTGAAAGCACTTAACCTCCTTTCAGGCTTACTGGAGTGCACAGCCAAGAGTTCCCAGAGTCTCAGTGGAGACAATACTTAGGCTGTTGAGCAGTGCTGGAACTGGGAGGCAATTTCAGCTCTCCAGCAGGGACCTAGGGTGTTTTGTATTATGAAATGGCCATGTTATGGTTTCAAGCATTGGGGCTTCATCTTCATTGTCAACTTGACTAGGAGATACAGGTGTGCCCTAGTGTGTCCGCGAGAATGTTCACAGAGAGCATTCAGTGAGGAAGGAAGACGCTGGGATTAAAGGAGGGCACCACTATACCTAGTTAACTGTGACTAACAATCTAAAAATCTAGATGAGAAAAATCCTTGGGTCTAAAGTCCAAAATTGGTTTGTGAAACAGAAAAGTTGAAAAGAACAATTATCAAAACTGGGATGCTCCAAACTTCCAGGCATGACCTCTGACCTTCTTTTTTCCCCAGCTTCCCTCAGCCTTGGATGAACTAATGGTGCTGTCCACCAAACCCAGGGCTTGGGGCTCCAGGCTCTGGATGGGTACTAACAAAGGCGCATCCCCTTGGACACTGTGGTCGTTCCAGGTACAGGTTAATAGTCCTATCCACAGTCCTCTGAGGGACCGAAAGAAACACTGAGGCAAAATAATTAATTTTTTTTCCTTCACTGCTAGTGAAATCTATGTAACCCGGGGTTTCAGAAGACTCCCTTCTCCCCGCTACAGCTGAATGGAAGTATGACAGAAAGGAAAGAGAAGAGAAAGATCTGCTACCTAACTGGAGACTCTGAGGCTTTTTCCACTCTTTGGAAGAACCATTCATGGAGAAAAGTTCCCTTCTGCTTTGCAATGCTTCGCTGGGTGCCTCCTGCAACAAAAGAGATGGGGGAATGAACATGTGGGGAGGAGGAAGGACACTGGACGTCAGGATGTAAACGGTCTCGGGCAGCTCACTTCATCTCCAGCACCTCTCAGTTTCCTTGTGTCAAGAAGAGATGCTGAGCCGGGCAGTGGTGGCGCACGCCTTTAATCCCAGCACTTGGGAGGCAGAGGCAGGCGGATCTCTGTGAGTTCGAGACCAGCCTGGTCTACAAGAGCAAGTTCCAGGACAGGCTCCAAAACCACAGAGAAACCCTGTCTCGGAAAAAAAAAAAAAAAAAAAAAAAAAAAAAAAGAAGAGACGCTGATGAGGATATAGCTCAGCAGTGGAGCCCTTGACCAGCATGCATAAGGCCTCGGGTTTAATCCCTGGTAGCTACAGAAAAATCAAATTAAAACAAAACAAAAACCTAGGCCAAGTCAGTCTCTTAAAGATGGTAGCAGTTTGTTCAATGAGCCGTTGGGAGGCTTGAGATAACCCACAGAAAGCCCTTAGCTGGTTACACATTCATTCACGCACATGTTTCACCCACCCTTGCTGAGTCTTCCCCTCCTGGTACCAAGAACCCGACTCTTCACAAAGTCCATGTCATGGTGCTTATTAATGACACCAGTGAGTCCCCCGCCAGCTGGCACGAGCAACCACAAACACTGTTGCAACTCTAGCCACATTTTGATATCAAAAGTAAAACTTCAGGGAGCAGATGCTGTGGAAAGTTAATTTGCAGCATTGCTGTGTTTACCCTCACTACCTATAAAGCCTCCCATTGGCTGATGTTTGGAGGGTGGGGACCACCAAATGGTGAAGGCCACTGTCCCCCTCCTCTAACCATTAACCAGCAGAGACACTGACAAACAGGACTTAGTAGGCAGCCTCCCTAGAGCCTACTGTACATCTGCTAGGATCCCAGGCAGCAGAGCGGAGCCCGCGGGAGCCACCTGAGCCTACTGCAGACGTGAGTTACTCCTGAGAGTACTCTATTCCTCCTGCTCTTGCCAGGATCCCCACCTCTGCATCTTTGCACTCCAGAACACAGCCACGTGTGCCGTTTGCTCGTTGGAGATTTTTAGTAGATGAACATGCATCCGCTGTGAAATGAGACAACCTTGTGGAGGACTTCCCAGACCCTAGAATCTGGTGGTCACCACTGGGTTTTAATTTCTCCTCCGCTACTGCCTTGCGGGAACTGTCACTGAGAGTGGTGGCTGTGTTTCACCGATTCCCCAGGGATTCAGCATTAGCTGTCAGGAACGGGAGGGAATCTCAGAACTGAGATGGATGAGTGCCAAGCAGGACTCTGGGATGGGACTAGGGGTGCACAGCTTGCACATGCAGGGGCACTCTGGAGAGTGCCCCCACACCCCTCTTTCATGGCTCCTCGCTTGGTAATCTGGGATGGGGATGGTGCTGTTAGAAGAAAGAGCTGTACTAACTCTCTGCACCATCTGACGGGCTACGATCCCTGCCTAACTCCTCACCTGACCCAAGTCACTTCGGAGAGGACTGGCAAGGAGGACATTAGTAGAAACATATGGCCCTCAGTCCTTTCACAGGCTGCTCTTAAAGAGCCACCTCGCTGGCCATGTGGCTTTTGATAGAGATAAGCAGGGTGGCTCAGGAGGTGCGTGCCCTGTCCTTTATGGATGCCCTGCCTTGGCCAGTTCAGTTTGCCCAGCTCTGCACTGAGCTGAAGCTGACTCATGAATTGAGTTTATGTAAGTCATGTATTGATGACAGCCACACCAGACATTCACAACAGTCTCGTGAGGCAGTGGGGGTGTTCAGCTCCATCCTGCAGGTTTGACACAGGAAGAGTGAGGCACACGGTCTCCCCCGCTTCAAAAAAAAAGGCAGGAAGAGGAAGGAGGCCCAGGTAACTGGGGGCTTTCCCCCAAAGTGGATCATAGATAGGTAATGGCCCAGTGAAGAAACCATGTGTAGAAAACAAGGAAGGGGCAGAGAAAAGGGAAGAAGAGAGGCTTTCTGGAGACAGTGACCTGAGTGTCAAAGACCGAAAGAGAATGAGTTGGGCAGGGGGTGGAAAAGATGGGCCCACAGAGGGGAGCCATGGGCAGGGGCAGGGTAGGGTCATCTTTATCTCCATGTCTCAGGCCAGGATGGAGCTCAGCAAACACTACAGGGACTGTAGTGACATGCCCTGCCTTCTGTGTCCTGCCCTGTCCTGCCCTAACTTCTGACCTGGCCTGAAGGAGGATAACAATCCACAATTCCTCATGTGTGTCCAGAGGAAACCTGTGACATCCAGCAGTGCTGCAGACAGACAGACAGCATTCCGACTTAAGGCTGAAGGACGGGTCAGGAGGGTCCAGTAGGCTGGGTCTCCTTCCTCTTCCTGCTGTTTCTGGGGGCAACCGTGTGACCCACTCACCCTCACTCATGTGAGTCGCCCACATGAATGAGGGTGAGCTTCATGTGGGCACAGGGGAGCCCCTGAAACCTCATCTTCTGCACAGCTGTGTCCTACCCCTATTCAGTCACCGATGGTAACTTTCTAGATTGGGTAGTCCCTACCACATCTTCCCAACTTCATGTGCTTTTGTTTGTTTTTGAGTTTTAGGGTTGTTGTTGTTGTCATTTTGATTTGTTTTTCTAGTCAGGGTTTCTCTGTGTAACAGTCCTGGATATCCTGGAACCCACTTTGTAGACCAGGCTGAGCTCAAACACATGCAGGTCTGCCTCCCGAGTGCTGGAATGGTAAAGGTGTGCGCCACCACTACCTGGCCTTCTTTTTTTGAACACCGAGTCCACTTGGTATGGTTAGTATGTGCATGGGTGTAGGGTCATCTCCAGAAGCATGGCTAGTCTCTCACTCTGGGGCGGCCTTCTGGAACGGATTTTTCTTTTCCAGATGCCAGCAATGGAAAACCTGCGGCTTGCCATGTCCACAGCAGTGACTGCCGTGTAGTGACAAAATGCCTCTGCGCTGGCTTTTGCCTGCTGAAGGATTGGGGTTAGAGCTTCTTGGAGCGAAGCCCCAGGTGGTCCCCCTGGCAATCAGCAGTCCAGAGAGGACCTGATGCCCTAGGCAAATCTCGTATCTGGAGATGGCCTTGAGAGCGAGCCCTTCTAACACCTTGCCTGATCTTTCTCTGTATTTCTTAATTTTCCTGTTTGCAGCTGACCGCTTACCAAGAGATCAAAGTACGTCCTTGGCTCGGCTCCACTGTTCATTATAGCAGTCCTTGAGGAACTGAAGTATGCCCCATGCCACATGAGCCTGGGAAACTTTATTATTTATGAAACAGAAGCGGCTAAAGTTGATACGTTACGAGGGAATCATCATAGTGAATCAGATTTAGAGAGAAAAGGAGAGTTAGAGAAAATTCCCCTTTATGAAAAGATTAGCTAGATCTCAGAAGCCCTGGAGTCTTTATAGTAAGAAGGAAAGAAAGGAAATTATTGATAAAGACCAGTTTTAATATATTGGTATAGGAACTATCATGAGAAAATGAGAAAACTATTAGGGGATATGGAGCAAAGAATAAAAACTATGTAGATGGAAAGCTAAACACAGGACCCTGAGAACTAGTCTCCCACGGTAGAATGTAAATAATGGTGTGAGACAGAGTTCTAAGAGACAAAACAAAACTAAAAGTCCTTGCCAACATCTTGAGCCCAGGAGCAGGTAGAAGGAGCTCTATTTTGATTATGCTTAGCCTTGATTTATGTCTGGAACCCTGAGTGGGGTGATGTAATGAACCTGCCAAGTTCTTTGATCTGTTTTGTACAAAAACTGAAGCTTTGCAGAAGTAAAATTGCAGCAGATTTTCACTACACAGTGTGTCTGTCTGTCATTTCCCTTGCATCGTATCCTGACTATCCTATCCTTCACCCTGTTCTCCCGTGGATAGTGGTCTCCGAGAGGGACGGTCCGTGGCAGCGGCTGATGCTGTGCTCCAGAAACATAGTAGCAATCAGCCTGCTGGGTTCTCATCTTTTACCCAGGGATTAGTGCGATGACTCTCAACCTTACCTCATCATAGAGGCTTCTTTCTGCTGTAGACAGCGGTTAGCACGGAGACCCTCAACAAGTCAACATCAAGGCTTTTAAAAATCACACGAAAAATAAAAAGGTGGATGTACAAAGTAAAAGCCCAACAACACCTAGCCTGACAATTATTTGCACACGGCCCTTTAGCAGGGCATCTTTCTCTCCCCATCTGCTTCTCACTATGTCCAGTGGCTTTTTATTCTGATCGGGAATCAAAGGGAAACCCACTTAGCAGGGTTTGTACTGTGTGAACTGAGCACGGTTTAGCAAGCCGTCAGTTTTGAAGGAGAGTTTGGCCACACTTTGTTTGTTTGTTTTTTCTTCTATGTTAAATATATGAGTTTGCATGGGTACTTAGTCTGTCTGAGTTTCCGGCTGCCTATAGTAGAATTAGGAAAGCCTCCTTTGAGTTTTTTGACGAAAAGTGCACACGAATATAGGTGAAATGCTCGAGGAAGTGCTAGGTTAAGTAGCAACGGCGCTGAATAAAGCTGTCTTCAGTTGAGGACCCCGAAGTCCAGAACTTTGCTGTGACTGCCTGGGTCAATTTCTCTCACAGTCAATGTGAAGGAAAAAATGGGGGAGGGCAAATCGGGGTCTTGGCCTGCCTCCCACGGCACTGTGTGCCCCGATTCTGGGACTGCCATACCATCTAAAAAACACTCTTGGTTTGGCAGGGCCTAGTCAACCAGAACGATGCCATTTGCTCTGTATGCCTGGCTCCTCTGGCTCTCCACCAGTGGCCTTGTGACTGCCAATCCTATAGATGACAGCCATACTGGGAAACCTCACCGAGGCCTGGCTCCCACCAATGTTGACTTTGGCTTCAACCTGTATAATCGCCTAGCAGCCATGGATCCTCACAAGAATGTTTTAATCTCCCCCGTGAGCATCTCCACGGCCTTGGTCATGATGTCCCATGGTGCCTCAGGCCCCACAAAGACCAAGCTGTTCCAGGAGGAGGGCTTCAACATAAC